CAAGACCGTTTTGCCGTTCTGAGAGAAATCTTTCCCTATGAGTTCAGGGTCCCCAGGGCTTTCCATGCCAAAAAAGACAGAACTCCCATTGATGACTTCAGCAGTTCCACACCTTGAATGCACCGCCACGTCATATAGGAAAAGCATCTTCAGAAGTAAAACACCATCCTTTTGAGCTAATTCTTGATGTGGCCAAGGAAGACTTTTTAACCCCAACCGTTCAGGCCCACAGCGTCGGCGTAATACAGGTGGACCACCGTCTTCACCTCTCAACCTTGACACTGTCCTGCAGGGAGGTCCTCCCACCACAGCAACCACCTTTCCTTCAGCCGCCAGATGCAGAAGATACTTCCAGACGCTCGAATTATGTAGGTCACCGCCTTTTGTCAAATCCAGCTCCAGTACCTCCACATCCCGACTGGGAAAATGCCATTTCTGTTTTCCCGAAAACAGGTGTACCACCACCCTTTTTGCTCGTGCCAGCCGTCTCCTTTTATGACGGTTGAAAGGCAACGCCGCAATATCTCCACGTGGCAACAGCTCCATCAGCATATTTTCTGGTATATCCCCATAATACCACCGAAGAAATCGCCAGCATGCCTGGACGAACTCCTCCTCATTCGCTGACGCTGTCCGCGCTGCGCTTTGCAACGACGTTTTTACAGCCACCTCGTTGTCCGTATTCGGACACCCTTGAACCATATGTGCCACCTTCAAAGCTTGCTTTGGTGAGCACCAATCCATTTCATCAATGATCTGAAGCGCCACCTCCTTTTCCAAACAAGGGCACCCATTCAGATCACGAACGCGAAGTTCCCCCAGAACAGGATGTGAGGCTGTGCACTTGCCACCACGCCACTGAACTCTGAGACCAACCAAGGCGCTCGCTTTGCCAATTGGCACTAGTGGATCTACCATTTCAGGAGTTACCAGGGTCCCACCTGGGGTTATACACATCTCCCGAGATCCAACAGCTAAAGACACCAACACCTTTTGCTGCGGAAGCTGTTCTCCAGGACGAAGTGATCTGAGAGGATGTGATGCTCCCGAGTCCAACATGCCCATTCCCGAACACTCATTGGTGTCAGAAACCCTGGCCACATGTAGAACGCATACTCCTCGGCCTTCTCCCTGCTTCGGCAACAACGTGGCATCCGACGAACCGACTCCACAGTCCGCCCTTCCATTCCTCCATTGAGAATGGGACCAAGACGCACGCTGCCTTTCAGCATGCAAAACCATTTTTTCAGCTGTTTTGTAATCCATAACCAAACAGCCATGTTCAAACCACAAGAGCTGGTCCAGCGAAGATTTTGCACCCACGTGACACATCCCATTGATCACAGTGAGGTTCGCCCCAAACTCCAAAATCAACCAGAGAGGGATAATCAGGGGCCCATTGTCTTCCCTAATCAACGTCCCTTTCTCTGTAATCCTCATTGCCACACCACCAAGCGCGCTTTGCACCATAACAGTAGTGTCGGGTAAACATTCCCATGGAAAAAGCGTCCGCACAAGATGCGTAGCAGCTGTATCCACCAACGCCACTCTCCCTTCCTGCTGAAACAATCCAGATCCACATAACATTCGAACACTGGGATCCCCGCTCGATGCTGACTGCGCTGATGACAGCTTCATAGATTTCAGCACTTCCAACGCTTCAGCAAGGACTTGATTGGGTGTTGATGGTGATGAGGGACTTGCCGAACCTTTATCCAATCCCGCATTAGCCGTCTCATCTCCCCCTTCAGCTACCTCTGCCTTTTTGGCATTTCCCCATTTCGCACCTTTGCCGCCCTTTCCCCCCTTGGGAGAATTCCCTTTAGATCTGCTTCTCTCAGGGTTTGAGTCCACATTGGAACTTGCGCCATCCTTATATGGACATTGCGGCTGTAGATGGCCAACGGCCCCACACTCAAAACATCTTCCTCGCTCAAGGGAGTCTTTATCATGGCGAAATTTGCAGCGGGATCCAAACTTGCAACCTGCATCGGTCTTCCCATATATCCAACAGAAAGGACGTTCACCATTTCCGCTGTACCTTTTTCCTTTCCCTTTGCTTTTGTCACCCTCCTCTGTCTCGTCACCAGTTCCCTTTTGGGCCTTATTTAACCTGGCCCTTTTCTTGGCGTCCGAGTCCTGCTTCACCTCTTGTTCACCAGCACTATGCAATAGCAGTTCAAACTCTGCCTGCAACATTTCAGCTAGTTGTGTCGCAGTTTCAGAGGTCGGCGAGTAGTCCACCCCCAATTTCTCCCGAAAGGATGCCACTCTGAAATGCACCGTAGGGTGTTTTGCCAGCAACGCGGATGATAAAGCATCCAATCCCTTGATAAGCAAGGTAGCGTCCGGCTCGGATGCTCGCAGCTCCCTTCATCGGGAACGCCATTGCGCCCATTGTCGCACTCCCTTAATAGCCTCTGAGATCGAGGTTGCTGAAGATGGTAGCACCAAGAAGTTCAACATTGTGCTGCGCTCATTTGCTCCACCTGGTTGGTAGACCGTCAGCAATTTGTAAAATATCATCACCGACCCCAACATTCGAGTGGAAACGATCTCGGTCTTCAATCTCTCCGGGATCGCCTGTAGCAGCAAAGACACCGCTCTCTGCTCCAACAAAACATGCACAGTTTGAACCACCTTGAGTCCTTCTAGCTCAGCCTTGATGCCCAACCTTTCCAGTGGAGAAACACTCAACCATTTGGCATACGCTTGATATGCCTTTGAGTAAACGCATTGCCACCACACTCTTCCTGTATCTGTCAGCGAAGACAACATTGGTTCGATCATTGCGATCCAATCACCCAGTGCCGTCGGATTGCTTGGTGTGTAGTCTGCCAAAGTTGGAAGGCTCATCACATGCTTCCCGAGAGCCTCCGGACGTTCGGTTCCAGAACTATCACCAGTGATTGGCATACCGCGTGGCACCACTGCTCCAGGAGGTAAGCTGACCCTTCCACCAGGCAACTTCCCAGCGACCATTTTCCACCGATACGGAACATCATCCACCATTGTATATCCACCCGATCCTGCTGAGTTCGCTTGCGTTGCAGTTTCCCGAGCTGAAACAAAACCGGGCTGGTTCCCCGTAGGTGCGACAGAACCATCAACACCTGATGGCACGGAAGTAATCGGAACATGTGTTAAACCAGGTGGTCCACTTGCATATCCACCACTTGCAGGACCTCCCGTGGGGTAATTCAATGGAGGCAATCTGGAGGGTTTCTTCCCTTCAGCTACATGCATCATTGGCACTTCTTTTTCATCCTCCACTTGAACATCCCCCTTCCTGGACCCAGGCAAGGATTGAAGATCACAACCCTTTGGCAGGTCGTAGCCCTCAATAGGCAGCCATGTCCCATCAGGCAACACAGTCCAAAAACCACCCATACCATCCGTGTAGAAACTTGTCCTGGCAGGTACTGCTTCTCTGGAGTCATTCCTAGAGGATATGCCGTGTTTGCGTCCACCACTCCAGAGCTCCGTGCCCTTGAAGCTGACCCAGATGCAGCAGAGGTATAGCTTTTCTCCTCCACCCGATGCAACCTGTTCCCCAGCTCCTTTGTCTGCGCAAGCAACTCTTTCAGCGCACGCTTCACCACCGCCATATCTTCAGATTGCTCTTCACCACTAACATCAGGAATGAGTTCTTCGTCGGCTTGCACTCCACCAATAGTACCTCGTTCCATTTGTCCCATTAAGCCTGACGATGGTCTCTCAACAGGTGCAGGTTCCTGACCCAAAAGATCTTGCAGCGAAGGCGGTCTCCTCGTACCTTCACCACTCCTATCCCCTCCGCTCGCGGGAAGACTTGCCGGCCTTGATTGCCTAAGTCTCATTTCCTCTTGAGCCCGCTCGCTCCAGAAAGGATTTGCTGCTTGAACCGGAACCACTTCATTTTCCACCTGAGGCGTTGGTTGTATCATTGCAACCTCCCTACCATCTGTCAGTGCTTGTATCTTCACACCCCCATCACCACGATTTCCTTCGGCTTCATTGGCCGTTGGCGACAGTCCAGGCTCAGAGCGACGCCGCATCATGTCCATGGCGTTAAACAAACGAAAAATCTTTACCAATTCCGCAGGAAGCCTAATTTGGGCTCATAACCTACGGGGGGCAACCGAAGGAGGACAGGGAACAAAACAGTCAACCCCAACAGAAGCCCTCAATACCCCTGGAACAACCAACAACCGAACAGCAAGACCCCAAACCAAGGGCACACTTTTTACGAAACCTTCGACCGCTTTGGTCATGGCTTGAGCCAACGATTACCGGGTTCATTGACCCTTGAACTTCCAATACCAACTCCTTTCTACAATACCAATTGCAGCTCCGCACCCTAAACCCTAAACCCTAAACCCTAAACCCTAAACCCGAAACCCTAAACCCTACACCCTTTCCCCTAAACCCTACACCCTAAACCCTAAACCCTAAACCCTAAACCCTAAACCCTAAACCCTGAACCTTAAGCCCTTGAGCCTTGGGAGCTGCCCAGGCAGGGGAGGTCTGCGAGCTCCTCGTGGACTGCTACCGAGACAGCGGGTTCCCTGAAGGGCTCCTTGACTCCTATTTCATACGAGCGCAGGGTTTAGGGTCTAGGGTTTAGGGTTTAGGGCTAGGGTTTAGGGTTTAGGGTTCAGGGTTTAGGGTCTAGGGTTCAGGGTTTAGGGTTTAGGCTCTAGGGTTTAGGGTTTAGGGTCAGTGCTCAAGTGATGGTCACTTTTTTGGTGCCCGAAACATTCGGGGCGGGGCCTTATACTGGCGGCCCAAAAGGGACCCCAAGTAAGAAATGCGACCATGTCTGAGGTCGACTGGTGAGAGGTTCAATTGACCCAGGCCCCCCCCCCCCTCATGCCCTGCCGTGCCCACGCGCTAGTCATCTTCTTCTGTCGCTTTGATGACTCTTTTTGTAGCATCCAATCCCTAAGTCTATTCTCTGGTTTCTTGAGATCTGAGCCCCGAGGACTTGGGTGAAGATCGTAGACCTGGGCCCCGGGCCAATGGTAAAGATCGCCCTGGGCGGCGACGGCCGGGCCGCCTATGTGGAACAGGCCTATCTCGATTTGCTGCAGCCCATCAGTATGGTACCACCCTACACCCTACACCCTACACCCTACACCCTACACCCTACACCCTACACCCTACACCCTAAACCCTAAACCCTAAACCCTAAACCCTAAACCCTAGGAGGTTTCAGAGACGCGCGGCACCTGCGTCAGGCAGGCCTCCGGCCACTGGGCGGCCATTTGGAGGCCCGCTTTGGGGCTTGAGAGTTTGCCGTGGAGTTGAGTCTGAGATGAGGCTCTGGGGGATGCTTTCAGGAGACAGGGTCCTGTCGACCCAGCTGTGGTCTTCATGTTAATCTTGTGTTTAGCATAAGTCCTACACTCCAAACCGTACCCCGACACCCAGTTCCCATAGAGACAGCTGCAAAGCGCTGGAGCCTAAGACAGCCCAAGCAGCAGTGTACCTCGTCAAAATCCCAGACCCTTTTCCCGGCAAGATCACAAGCTTACTGTTGGTTAGCAGGGAAAGGGAATTAGCACCCTATTTATGTACCCTGTAGGGGATTATATAGGGTAGTATTCCCCCATCCCTAAACCCTAAACCCTAAACCCTAAACCCTAAACCCTAAACCCGAAACCCTCAACCCTCAACCCTCAACCCTCAACCCTCAACCCTCAACCCTCAACCCTGAACCCTGAACCCTGAACCCTGAACCCTGAACCCCAAACCCTAAACCCTAAACCCTCAACCCTCAACCCTAAACCCTGAACCCTGAACCCTAAACCCTAAACCCTAAAGCCTAAACCCTAAACCCTAGACCCTAAACCCTAAACCCTAAACCCTAAACCCTAAACCCTAAACCCTACGAACCGTAAGCAAGGAGATGCCAGACTTGGCACAGATGCCGCAGCTGCCAGAGGGCACCGGCTCTGCCCCAACGAAGGAGCCGCGCCAGGTGGTGCAGGACTTGGTGCGGGGTTTGGGGTTCAGGGTTCAGGGTTTAGGGTTTAGGGTTTAGGGGGTTTTGGCGCTTTGTTTGGGTGGCTCAGGGTGCTTTCAGATGTTAAATCGTGCAAGGCCTCTGGGCTCAAGAGGCTTATGCCGGGATGAGTAGCTCACACAACCGACATGCAAAACCGGCAACCTTTCCTTACAATCCGGTGCGCTGGTTTCTTTTTGGCCTGCCACTGATTTAGGGTTTAGGATTTAGGGTTTAGACGCCAAAAGCGCGCGATTGCACACAAAAGTGCGCACGGCGGTACATTGTCCAAACCACCGAGACGTGTACTGTAGCACAAAGTAGTGCCACATGACACATGACAAGAGCAAGGATACTGAGTTTTTCTGACGAACCTTGGACCTTCCTCCGCTCCCAAACCCCCTTTAGGGTTTAGCCCCCGTCGCGGTAGTTTTGATTGTTCCTTGCAGTTTAGAATCTCAGAACCCTGGTCATGACCTGAACCAAAACCCTAAATTCTAAACCCCAAACCCAACCCGCCCGGGCAGTTGGCAAATTCTCTGCGCTTGGCCGAGCCCTAAAGAGCCAAATGCCCAAAACCTCAACCCATCGCACTACTTTGTGGATCGTCCAGTTTTGCGGGTGGCAAACAAGCCCTAACACCCCGAAACCCTGAACTTCAACGTCAGACACCCTAAACCCTTGAAGATGTGCAGCCAAGGTATGTGACTCAACCTCGCCGACGGCCCCGCATTCCCTTTTTCGGTTCAGGGAAATGGCTACGAAGAAGCCCTTGAGCCCCAACGAACCACATCGTGAAGCAGAGCTTTACGTACATTCAGTCATAAAGGCATCTGTAAGCAGTATGAGCAGAGCTCTACATGATGCATTGTCTGTGGTAAGCTGTACAAAAGCCACATAAGGACGAAGCATCTTGCTTGCCGTGGAAAAATAGACATTCAATTCGCTTGTGTTGCCATGGAGCCCCAACTGCCCGGATCCCCATGTGATCAGCATGAGGGGGACATGCAACAAGAGGTTATGGTCGCCCAACCGCCAGCTGCGCAAGCAGCAACTCTGCAAGGACCAGTCCCGAATGGGATGGACCAACCTCAAGTCCAGGTGAACTTGGCCACTGGACAAGCTACGACAGCAAGGTCGGGGGCCACAATCCTGCAGGCAGATGTGGATGGCGCTGGAGCAATGGATGAGACGGTGTCCTTTGCTGGAAGAGCGGACGTCCCGCCGAGTACCCAGGACCTTGGTAGCTCACTGGAACCAGAACCCGCAGCGCGGCGAAGTCAGGCAGTGGAGGAAGCATCCATGACGAACTTTGATCGCGGCGGAGCTGGAGCTGGTGAACAAGCTGCAGGGGTCTCGCAGGTGGCTTCGACTGGTTTTGCAACCCCGAGATCCATGAGAAATGGATACAGCGGGGGTGCTCCGTGGGTGGCAGGATTGGAGGTTCCGGCATGGGTTTCCAGGCTGGGATCGTATTTGTCACTGGCTCCACAGAATGATCTCCTGCCTAGCCCTCTTGGGGGAAGCCAGGGATCCCAGAGGTCACTGCCGGGTGGCCCAAGTTTCGTGCTGCGTAATAGCAGGCCGACGCCATCACCTCCGACGCCAAGTTCCTCGAGTTTGCCCCAGGAGGCGATTCAAGCTGAAGTGCAACGGCAGTTAGGCCAGGTGCTGCAACGTCTACGAGTGGCGGAACAACGGAACGAGGAGCTGGAGAGTGAGTTGGCAACGCTGAAACAGGGAGGTGGTGGTATGAGGCAGCCAGCCTTTCCAGGGCTGGAATCAGGGGATGTTCAACAAGTTCGTCCTTCTCGAGTACCAGATCCACCTGAACACGGACGAGATCCAGACCTTGAAGAGCGGGGACCTGGAGAGGTGCCGCTGCCACCAGAACTGGAAGGAGGACCGGGTACCTCAGAGTTACTCCGAGATGCAGCCCCAGGAAGAACTACATCAGCAAGAACGTCAAGGGTGGCAACTTCTGGAGGTATAACAGAGGGAATCCGATCCCTTTTGGGTGGAGGAACTAGGCCCCCAACACCGCCTATTCCACGGGACCCGTCAACACCGAGGGAGAGTCCAGTGCTGGAAATGTTGGCACGGGGCATGAAGCAGCTGCAAGACATTCAGGCCCAGACACTGGCGAGATCCCCGTCGTCACCTTCGCAGTCAGAAGTGGTTAAGCCGGGAACCTTGACCCTGAGTCCTCTGCCTGAGTATCGAGCTTCTGATGGTGCAGGTTCCTCGGCGCTACAACTGCAAGATTGGCTGGAAGTGGCGGCAACGGTCCTGGCGGATGTGAGTGAGAACAGTGGGGCATGGTGGTCTGCGGTCATGGACTTGGTCAACGAAACCTACAGCCAGTGGTTGGCAGCCACGCCATTGGAGCGACTTCAGATCGCACCGAAGGGAGCCGAAGCCCTGTGCACTGGCAGATGGACAAGGGTCAATGCGAGGATTGCTTCGATGCTGTTGACGGCGATGGGCGAGGAACTTCGTGGAGAAATGGTTGGCCAGAGGATTACCCAGAGCTCACCACGGATGGTCTTCCGCCTCTTCGTTTTGTTCCAGCCGGGAGGGAGTGCTGAGCGGCAAGAGGTGCTAAAGAAGCTTCAAAATCCCAGCGAGTTCCTCACGGGAGATGGGCTTGAAGATGTGCTGAAGGCAGTGAGGGCGTGGCCGAGGTGGCTAGCACGCTGCATCTCAGTCAACATGTCACCGCCTGATGCATCGGTCATGGTTAGGGGATTGATGAACCTCACCACCAAGTACATCTCCATGTCCCCAGATGCAGCCTTCAGGACGGCGATGCTGAGGACCTCACTGCGATTGGACGCCAGGCCCACGATCTCCCAAGTTCAAGAATATCAACGGCATCTGCAAGCTGAGCTGGAAACCTTGTTGTCCTCGACGAGTACGGTGGCGACCTCATCAGCAACGGCAGGAGCACCAAAGATGAGGGCAATGGAGGCAACCTCAGGCCAGAGGACGAAGGAGAAGGAAAGGGCCGGGAGCGAGATGTGCCGCTACTTCATGAAACCCTCGGGATGCAGAAGAGGGAACAGGTGTTCTTTCTCCCACAACATGGCGAGCCTTGACAAGGAGACCCGGGCACGGAAGTGTTTGCTGTGTGGTGCAGAAGGCCATAGGCAGCGAGAGTGCACGGTGAATAAGTCCGGGGCAAAGTCTAAGGCGTCCTCTGCAGCGACGACGTCAATGGCCAAGACTGGGGACACCGCTCCTTCATCCTCCCAACCGCCGGCGATGGCAGCGATAACTGGACCACAGGGTGAAGGAGGAGATAACACTGTCCAGGGCGTACCCTGGACTCTCGAGTCGCTTCTGCAGGCGGTCCAGGCCCAGGTTGTGCACAATGCTTCAGAAGGGGAAAAGAGCCCGGAGAAGACCCCGGCAGCAAAGGTATTGATCGTCCGGGACATCAGGGTGTGCTCTTTGAGGTCTTCGTCTTCGGCGTTGCTGGACTCCGGGGCAACTCACTCCCTTAGGAGTGCCGTGAGTTGGGATGAGTGGTTACGGTCTGAGGAGGTGGAAGTGCAGCTAGCTGGGAATCATTCCTTGAAGATGAGGATGAGCGGATTGGATACCCTGCTGATGCCCCCACAACCTAACCACGACCCGATGGCGCAGCAACCTCAGACCATCGTCCCGCTTGGCGAGCTGGTGAAGATCCTTGGTTATACTATGAGGTGGTCGAGGGAGGAATGCACACTCGAGGGTCCCGAGGGCGAGATCATCCACCTGAGCACCAACTCTGGATGCCCTCAATTGTGCGAGGCCGAGGCGCTAGCGCTAATCGCTAGATTGGAGGAGAGGAAACGGGAGCAGCTGGAGAACGAGACGCTGATCACAGAGGACAGGATTACTCGGATTGCATCGTGTATGGATAGGTCCTGGTTTGAGTACCTCTTGAACTACACCAATGGGGGGCCAAGAGAAGCAGGACTACGGGCCCTTCGCGATGCGCCCTTCTTTCAGGGAATTCCGGGGGAATGTCTCAGCGCCTTGATCCCTCCTGAAGAGCAATCCAGTGGGTGGGAAACTTTGAAGAAGGTCACCTACTTGACTCGACCCCAACGGAGAACTCTACTCTCAGCCAAGAAATGGGTCGTGCACCTCTTTGCTGGTGAGGAGGGCCACATGGAATTCTTCCGACAACACGATGGAGACACTGTGGTCCTGGAGGTTGACATCAGGCAATGTCGGGGTCATGACCTGTTGGGGGCGTCGCCTACCTGGAAGATGCTTTTGTGGGGTGCAAGATCGGGAAAAGTGGATATGGTGTTTGGAGGTCCTCCAGGGAGAGATGGAAAAACGTTTCTTCCCTCTGCCCCCGAGGAGACCAACCTCAAGCCCCTCTCCTTGATCTGCCGAATGCTTTGGTTGTTCGTGGTGGCATCTGCGGGAAGAATGACAACGGCAAAGGGAGCTACGAGGCACAAGGAGGTGGGCTTCATGATTGAGCACCCGGGAAAGTCCGTATCCACACCATCGGCCATCAGGGAGGGACGACCATTCCTGTGGGAGACCAGAATGTGGCAAGAGTTTGCGATGGAAACCGGCATGTTCGAGGTGTCCTTTGAGCAGGGGGGGACCGGAGCAAGCACAACGATGAGCACGGTGCTGGGGACAAATATCCAGTACCTCAGAGGCTTGGAGGGCATCAAGGCCGATAGCAAGCCCGAGACCACAACTCAGGAGGTGGATCAAAGTCGCTGGTCACCTGGGCTGGTGAAGGCCCTGGTTGTTGCGTTCCACATGTGGTCAAGGAGTCCCCAGGTCTATGCAATGAGTCCAGAGCAGTGGAAGAAACACGTTGATGCTTCTCACCTCCCCTACAGGAGGGATTGTGCCACCTGCGTGATGGCAAAGGGAACTGGACGGCGCCATGGTCGTGTAAGCCATCCCGACAGCTATGTCCTCACTTCCGATTTGTCGGGCCCCCTGAAGGCAGGATTGGATTCGGC